TGGGGGGGTGTGGCCAATTCAATGTCACTCATGCCAATGGGTCTTAGCTGTTACAGTGTAATAAGAGCTAACTAGTGAGGCAATTTCTGTAAGCAGGTCAATAAAGATTAGGCTAGGAACAACACCAAAATGTTTCCTTCCTGCCTTCCTTACAGGATTAGCCCTGTAAAGTGGAAAAAACAAAAGGAGATTTCTTCCAACAACCGGTTCTCTGAACTACTTAGAAAGTTACCAGCCGGTTCTTCCGAATAGGTGCGAACTGGCTGAATCCCACCACTGCATTCCACTCTATAAACCATTATGCAGATTCTGAAGACTAGAAGGAATTTGGCCATTGTAACCATGAGTGCATGAGTACAAACGCATGAGTACCATTTGAAGTTATGATGGCCCCAACCCTCCCTAAAGGCTAAAATTCTTCAGCGCGGATGATGGCACACACAGAGAGACACACCTATGGTATGCAATGGAACAACTTGATGTGGCCAAATAACGTGGCCAACCTGCCACAGCCAACACACCATGGAACAACTCGCTGTGGGACAATTAGGCAATTCAATGTAAGTATTTAAAATAATTTTAAAAAATATTTTAATTTTTACCATTCACATTTCGTTCTGTTCCTTCTTTTGCACCCTTTCTTTAATGGTCTTTATTCCACCGTTTCTTCGATATGAATGCAACTCTTTTCCTGCAGTGAGTTGGCCATCGCAAGTTGGCTGTGCCGAGTTGCCCTAGACCCCCTGTGATCATAAGCCCACATTTTAGGCACTTGGCAAGCTTTGCAGCCAGTGGAGCATTCCACAGTCACAGGATACAATTTATGACTTTCTTGCCAGAAATCAGCCTTTTCGATGTTCGGTTTAAAAAAAAAACATCGATAGGAATGCTTTGACTCACTTACCTGTAGGCGTGATGACTTACTATGAACATGTCCTATTGTCTCCTTCATATTTATTTGTATTTTTTGTATCTGTTTTATACATTTGATAATGTCAGATGGCATTTTAAGGAAATCACTAAAATTAAAAAGCAGAGGTTTTCATGAACTCACACAAAGCTTCTGCCTTTTAATCAAACGTGTTTGGCCAAGAAAGGTCCTATCAGACTCCAGTTTCCTCCGCCTGGAAAAATCCATCCCACTTTTCCTGCCCACAGACTTGATGGGGAAGTTTGAAGAGCCAGCTGAATGGCCAGCCGACTCTAAGTCAACTCAAAGATGTTACTTTTTGGACTCTCAAATCATAGAACATAGAATCACAGAATAGCAGGATTGAAAGGAAACGTGGAGGTCTTCTAGTCCATCTGCTACTTAAGCAAGAGACTCTATTTCATTCTGAACCAATGGCTGTCCAGACTGTTCTTGAAAGCCTCCAGTGATGCATCACCCACAACTTCTGAAGGCAAGCTCTTCCATTGATTGATTGTTCTCGCTGTCAGGAAATTCCTCCTTAATTCTAGGTTGGCTCTTTCTTGAATGGTCTTCCACCCATTACTTCTTGTAATGCTCAGGTGCTTTGGAAAATAAGGTGACCCTCCCCTCTCTTCTCTGTGGCAGCTACTCAAGTATCATAAGTTTGCTATCATGTCACCCCTAATTCTTTTCTTCCTTAGGCTAGACATGCCTGTCAGCCGTTGACCCCTCCAGCCGCTGACTCAGAAGAGGAGGAGGAGGAGGCATGGGGTTAGGGTCAGCATCAGGGCAGCCTAGGAGCTCCGAGAGGGAAGGGAGAATGGAACTGTCAGAGAGGCAGAGCCTGGCCCGTCCATCAGTCCTCAGATGGAGAGTCAACAGCTCCCAGGTCTGGAAGTGGCTGATGAGGAAGAGGAGAAACAGCAGGGTCCAGTGCCTGACGCGTGGATACGCAGAAGGTAGAGGAGAGGAGAGCAGTGGAAATATATGGGCCGGTCCTTGGGAAGGGCCACCACTGCTAGCGAAGCCCCACCCTAGTTCTGGGGATAAAAGGCAGGGGGTGGAGATGAATAGGTGTGGCAGACAATTATTCATCTCCCGGATGGGCAGACTTGTTAGCCTGAGAGAGAAACTTTTTGCCAGGGCTGCCAGCATTCCTAATAAAGGAATCTTCTGTGTTCACATCGGAGGGTTTCTTGTGTTTGGGGAGCTTGTTTCAGAACACCTACTAGTTCCCTCAATCGTTCATCATAGTTTAGTCTTCAGATCCCTTATCATTTTAGTTGCTCCTCTCTGCACTCTTTCTTGGGTCTCAACATCTTTTTCGTATCATGGTGACCTGAACTGAATGCAGTGTGGTCTCACAATGCAGTATAAATTGGTATGAACACTTGACATGATAATTGGTCCACCTCAAGGGTCAGTTTGACCACATACCTCCTAGAAGAAAGAGCACCCCGGTGAACAGCATAAGGCAGAAGGCTTGGGTGAAGATGCTAAGGATACCTGCCATTCCTCCCAAGATGATGATGATGAGACTTAGAGGCAACAGGACCACAAATGCCCCATGAAGGTCTGGAAGGGAGAGAGAGGGAGAGAAGTAATCACTTCAACGTAGCTCAAAGCAGTGATGAGAAAGAGACAGGAGACAGGGATGGAAAGAGCAAGTGAAGAGCATCATCTCCAACACCCTCAAATGAAACTGTCCCACCAGCATTTCTGGCCCACCACCTTGGCCATGAGAACGAAGGCCAACCCAGTGAGAAGCTCAGTGCCGATGGAGACAGGGGTGGGATTCAGCCAGTTAAGACCGGTTTGGGCGAACCAGATGTTAATTTTACATCTGGTTTGTCGAACCGGTAGTTCCAACGACCGGCTGGCCTCGCCCCATCCTGCTCCTCCCAGCAGCCCCCATGCGGCCAGTTTTGGGTCCCAAGTAAGTGCAGGGGCCATGTTGAGCCTGGGGAGGTGGAAAATGGGCCTCCCAGAGGTCTATGGAGGATATAAACAGGCCTATTTCCAGCCTCTGGAGAGCCAGGGGAGGTGGAAAACGGGCCCTCCACAGCCTGTTTTCGCTCCCACAATGGTGTAAGAGGCTGACTACGCCATGCCTACCATGGCCACGCCCATCCAGCAACCAGGCAGCGAACCATTGTTAAATTATTTGAAGCCCACCACTGGATGGAGACCCACGCAAAGGCCAAACACCAGCAAAAGTGAATGATGAGATTTTCCAAGAAATTCTTCGTTCCCTGAAAAGATGCGACATGCCTGAAGAGGGCAGCGGAATAAGCAATGTAGATGCTGACCCCCAAGGAGGGTAATGTTCTAACCTAGGCTTCCTGAGAAAACATAAATCACAATCTTAGTCCCAAAAACTGTCTTTTATTTATACACCTGTAAATTATGGCCATTCACAGTCCCCAAGGCTTCACAAACAGTCTGTCTGCTCGAGTTGCCACAGTCTTTCAGGGAAATGTTGATAAACACCCACCTTACCTCCCTGGGAATCCTGCCAGAGACCTAATTGCCAAATGCAGAGCAAGGCCAAACTTAGCACAGAGTCAAAAAGAACTTTTCAAAGCT